ATGATGAGATATTTTTAATTAAAACATGGACATTTTGGGTATTATGTTACAAGACTCTATATGTTACTTCTGTTTTAGCAGTCTTGGTTTTAAAACTCCTGGCAGGGAAAGGAAGGGAGGGTGTCATATTATTACTCTTCCTACCAGATAGGGATACAAGTCTAGGTTTTCTTCTCAGTCTCTGTTGACACCTGAGGCCAGGAGGTGCGTTTTACTGATGGGCAAGGGTGGGCCCCCTCTTGGGTAGGGTTACCTCATTACTGCTCCCCTGACAACAGTGGGGGATGGCCTCGCTACCTCTGGGTGGTGCTCAAAGCCCTGCCTCTCCCCTAGGGCTTCTCTGACACCACCCAGTGCAGGAGGTGGAGGAGGTATGTGTTGTGGTAGTGGAGGCAGAGGTCCAGGTTCCCCAAGTGATCTCCCGGGTCACTGCAGGAGGCCTGTAACTGGTTTCTTGTTCAACCTGCTCTGACATGACCTGGTAGGAGGCCAAGGCATGTCATTAATCCTATTAAGGGAGGAAGTCTAGGCTCCCCACTCAGCTTCTGAGAGTGTGGGTGATGAGATATCTAGTGTTCTCTCTGCTGTTTAGCTGGAGTCCAGTGGTCATTGTCTAAAATTTTATTACCTTGCTAGTTTTCCCTTTTCTGATTCTCTGGCTTTGTGGATGCTTTAAAATTGATCATTTTAAGCCTTATGAATTTTTAACTGCCGTAAGATATATCGGAAGTTAAAGAAAAGACTTTATTGAAATTTTAAACAGTATTTTTTTATGTATTAAATTAATTTTGTTTTTATGTGTTTTTTTTTTTACCCTGCTCAAAGGTGAAGATTTTGCAGAAGTACATCAAAATTGGAATGCTCATAGCTCTTCTTCAGAGCATTCACAGGGATATCGAAACAGAGAATTCACACCAGGATTTTCCCGGGGTAGATATGCTCGACCTTGCCATGGCAGGCCCCCACCTCCACAGTTTTATAACTCGGAGCATATGGTACCTCAGGAGACTTCAGGATTCCCACCTCAGAGACAAGATAATCTTATGCCACAGTATCCCTTTCCTCCTCCAGGGTTTGACATGCATAATTTTTCACTCCCTCCTCCACTACCACCACCACCTCCACCTCCACCACCTGCATTTGTAAACATGGGTTGGCCTGCACCTAACATGCCACCTCATCCATTATATCCCATACCATACTCCATACCCCCACCTCCTCCCCCTCCACCCCTGCCTCCCTCCTCCTCTGCTGGAGATAGTAATTCTTCTCATTTTGGATCTTACTATTAGGTAAATATGTGCATTACCAGAGAAATGTATAAATTTTTTTTTATTTTATATGGGAAAGCTTTTTCTTTTATATAGGAAGAATTTTTTTTTAAGAGAGAGATTATGGCTCTAGATTTTTAATACATTGTGAAAAACTGAATGTTTACTTTAGTTATAAGTTGATATATATTTATAACCTTTGTGAAATTGTATCCATATGAAAATTTCAATTTAGATTTGTAGGGGAAATTACAATTATGTAATATTTAATTAAAACTTAATCCATGTTTAATAAACAATATATATAGGTTTAAGAATAGATTCTGAAGCAACTTTTATCATGGATGAAAACATACTGGACATACTGATTTTCTTGTTGGTCTATCTGAAAATATGATGTTGAAGTCTTATTGAGAGTCTTTAAAATAAACTATTTTTATAAATTTAGACTTTGGAAGTTGATTTTGATTGCAAGTGCAAATTACCAGTAAATTTGAATGTTCTGATGAAACCAAAGAAGTGAAGGGCACAGAGAAGGAAAGCCTTGTATGTTGGTGAAGCTGTGACTATAATTATAGCTTTTTATTATCTGTGCAGATTTCCATTATTTGGGCACTATTCAGTAGACTTTACTATTTAACCATTTAAAGGAACACAAAGATTATTGGCAATATAGTATGTTATTATTCACACTAAAAGGCATTTGACCCCATACTAAGAGATTATATCTTCCATATCCATTTCCCAGATTCTCACATGCCTGGCACAGCTTAGGTGCTTAATAAATATTTAATGAGCCCTAGCTGGTTTGGCTCAGTGGATAGGGTGTTGGCCTGCAGACTGAAGGGTCCCGGGTTCGATTCTGGGCAAGGGCGCATGCTTGGGTTGCAGGCTCAATCCCCAGTGGGGGGCATGCAGGAGACAGCCACTCAATGATACTCTCACATCATTGATGTTTCTATCTCTTCCTATCTCTCTGAAATCAATAAAAATATATTTCAAAAAAATAATAAAATATTTAATGAATGACTGAATTTAGAGTTTTTAATCAAATGACCAGTGAATATTACTTTACATTCTGAAATGTAAATGTATGGGAAATTATGGAATTTTAGAAATAGAGACCTTAGAAGTAGTCTAAACTAGTCCTCATTTAACAAGAAAGAGCCTAGCTAAGGGTCAAAAAGGTTAAGTGTCTTAACTCAGTGAGGTAACAAGGAGTTAAAGCTAGCTTTATTCATTCTCAGATCAATACTTTGTGTGAAGTTGGTGCTTCACAAACTCCTTGACAGTCTTAGAAAATAATATTGGCATACACATCGGGGTGATCAAGACCACTTTCATCACAAGCCCGTAGACTCTGGTTGCACTGGGCCCCTTTTCACCTCCCCATGGGCAGAGGGGTCTCTGCCGGGTTTCTCCGGCACAAGCTGAGAAGCTCTTGCTCTGATGTACACTGACTTCATCATGTGTCATACTTGGTTACTTTTTCTTGAAATGTAGTTCCCTTTAGGAGTTACCTTCATAGGTTACGGCAATCTTTTTCTGATTGATAGGATATTGTCAGAGTTAAATGAGATTACATCTGGAAACACTAAAAAAAAAAAAAAAAGACTTTTGTACAATGGGAAGAGTAAGATGTTACCATCCAGGAATGATAAATCAAGTTGTTTTAATGACCATGGTATCTGACAGTAGATATTTAATATCTAAAGAAACAGCTGAATGATACCATTTAATATCTGCTTTCAATGAAGTTGCTACCTAAACATCTAGATTCAATTTGCCTTCTTCCTTATACTTAATTCAGGGTTTTTGAAACGTCGGGGTGCCTAGAAATCACCTATAATTATCACCTGAGTTGTGGGTAGCTTGTAAAAAATGCACATTCTTGGACTTTATCCCAAATTCAAATCCAGTAGATCTATGAGTCTTAATAAACTATTTAACAGATACCCCTCTGGGTGATTAACTTCAGGATTTATTCTTAGTCTGTATAGATTTCAGCATAAAGATACTACTACAGTTTCTTGGCCATTGAATGGAACTTCAGGGAGTGCTGTTTGGAGTAGTGGTGAGGATGAGGGAGTTGATAGGGAAGAGAGAGAAATAAAACCATAGCTTCTTAAATTTTATCTGTATCATCTCACATGGTTTTCAGAGCTGTATTTTGTCAACTACATCTGTCTGTGGAGATGAGGAGTACCTATTGTCTCTCTTACCAGGAAGAGAAATACTGTTTTCGTATCCCCACCTTGATCTTAGAGTGTTACTTTTAAAATTGTGTGGCCCTAGATTTTTAAAAGTGCTAGCTGGTATAAAGATAAATACAACATTCTACTCAGTTTCTTACCTCAGAGAATTCTAGCTAATAAAAGTGATATGCAAATTGACCGTAACTCCATGATAGATGGAGGCGCCCACAGCCAATAGGAGGGAATATGCAAAGATGGCAGTGGCCGGGCCAGGAAGCTTGTGATGAGGCAAGCAGATGAGCAGCACGATGAGCGCCATCAGCAAGCCCATGCTGGCCGTCCACTGCTGCGACAGTGGCGTGGGGCCCTTGCTGGCGGGGGGCGGCAGTAAGGCAGGTGCCAGCAGTCTTGCCGCTGTGGCCAAGCTGTTGGGGAGAGGCAAGGCCAATGACAGGTTGCAGGGCTCCGAGGTGCCCAGGACGAGTGCCCCCGCGCCCATGCCAAACTGCGGAGGCCAGGGGCAGGGGGTGTGGTGGGGTTGGGCCAGATGTGGCAAGGAAGCAATGATTAGTGCATCGACAGCTAATGCTGAACACCCCAGAGGTTGGGGCAGCTGGGCCTGTGGAGGGAGGTCGCGGCCAGGTCAGGGCAGCTGCGGTGTGGAGCCAGAGGCATGGGCACCCGGTGCCTTCCCTGCTGGAGCTGCACACTGTCTCCACCGCCTCTGCTGCTGGAGCCACTGCCACTGCTGGAGCAGCTGCCAGGACCTCAGCCTGATTCTGAGCATGCTGAGCCCACAGCCCAGGCATCTAACACCCACCCCACCCCACTCCCACTCCCCAAGCCAACCTCAGGAGCGGCATGTCAGACTCCTGCATTCAACCTGGGCAAAGGCATGCCCTTATCTGTCTCCCCCTACCCCCCACCCCAACTCCCTGCATCCTCCTCGCACCCACAGTTCAGAGGCTCTGGGAAGTCCGCTGCAGATCTCCTAGCCAGCACCTCCTGGCGCAGGTGCCTATAAGCGCACCCCTTTCTGCACCCGCTGGTTCTGACATCCCGTCTCCCCAAGCTCCCTACAGCATCTGGCGCTCACCATCTCTGCCGGCTCCCGAGACCCCTACTCTCTCCTGCACCCCCACTCTCTCCTGCACCCCCACTCTCTCCTGCACTCCGTTCCTTTCTGCGCTTCTTTTGCCTCCTGCGTTTAGCTCCCTCCTGCGCCCCCGCTCCCCTGGCTCCCTGTCTACTTCCAGGGCCCAGATTTCCAGCCAGGCGAGCCCATGCTCCCTGTGGCAGAGAGGGAACCTCGGTGTTCTCTAAGTACCCGAGAGCTTTGGACAGCCTGTCTACAAGGGTTGGAGGAGGTTGGCTGAGAGATTGTTCCTCAGGTTGGGCAGCCTAGTGGAGTGAGTGTAAAACCCTTTCCCCTCTAGCGGGGACCCAGTCAGCCTACACCCTGCCAGCTCCGGGGATTGAAAGTGGGTGTTTGTGGTTAGAGGAAACTCCAGACGAGCGCCTGGCTAAAGCAAACCGCATCTGTCAGGAATGCTCTCTGGGCGCTGTTCTTGAAAGGAGCCTGTGTTCTACTGTGATAGATGCAGCAAGGAAGCCATGATTAGTGCATCTGACAGCTAACACTGAGGACCAGAAGGAAAAACACACACTCCCAGGCCCAGCTGGCCAATCTAAGTATGATGCAACCCTGTGTGCCTGTATAAACACAGATTTCAGATTTCTTGGTTGTTTTCTCCTTTTGCCCAAGTTCCCAGATTCTCAAATTCTAGGATTAGTTTTGGGAGGGATGAGAGAAGAAAATATGTAAATACTCAGAAGGATTACAATCAGATAGCAGGTGAGAGGATAGCCATACTTTTTGAGTTGGCAAATGAATCGGTTTGAAACTCGTGAGCCTGGCCTCTGGCCAGGCCAGGTGCGGAACCCTTGCATGGTTGCAGGCCAGGCTGAGGGACACCTCCCCCCGCTCACACACACACAAATTTCATGCACCAGGCCTCTAGTTGTTTCTATTAGCCTTTTCCTATGATAGATTAACATTCACATGATTGAATGTGGATGAAGCCTTGCGTGTCTGCAGTTGTCAATGTGTGAAATTAAAATTATTGCCTAAACCAATATTTGTTTTATTGAATTGAGTAACACTGTGTTCTCTCTATTTTACAGAAAAGATAGGTCCATGGTAGCTGGATACTTGCCACTTATTAGAAATAGGTATTGAGACTGTCCAGTGGAAACTGGAGTAAAATGCGCACTTTCAGAACTTACCAAAGAACATTTCTTAAAAGCCGTGGAGTTAAGTTGTAGCGTAGACACCAAATGCAGCCATCTTTTCTTTAATTATCAATACTAACTGGAAATGGGAGATGGCAAAGAAGAGTATACATGTTTTCTCTTTCTCTTCCCACCCACATCCTGATACGTTACTCCCTGCCCTCTACCCCCACTACTTTTTTATCATTTTTTACAATCTGTCTTTATTGTTGAAAGTATTACAGATGCCCCCTTCCCGCCACTCCATTGGCCTCCTCCGCCCTGCTCCCATTACCCCTATTACTTGTTTGCTACTTTTTTGGTTGCTTGCTTTGAGTTGGTGAGCACTATGTAGATTAAAAAATTCAGGACATTTGATGGATATGAGATGAGTAGAATCTGGGTTCTGGTCTACTGTAATGTAAAATAGATAAGTGGCATTTTAAATCCCCAGGTGCTAAAGGCAAGATTTCTTAAGATAACAGTCATAATGATTTGGAAAGAGATAGAATCTTAGGCATAATGTGTCATTGATATATATTCTATTTCAGCAGTAATGTTGCCATTTGCATTCAATTTTATCATTTACATAAATTTTAGGATAATATGAATAACTGGTTTCATTGCTTTCTACTAGTTCTTTTACACAGTGTCCCATCATTGAGTTATTTTCTGTTACAGGAAAGGCAACGCAACCCTTTGGATGACACAATTCAGGGAATTTAAGAGGAAGAGAAGTTATTCCTTATGTGTTTACTTGTCACTCTTGCCCAGTTGGTTTGGCGAAGGCTAGAGAAAATTTTTAACTTATGAACTCTTGACATGCTCAAGGTATTCAAAATAGCTATGTACTTCTGTAATTAAGTGCTAGGGGAAATACATTAGTATATTGTTGAATACTAGAACCTTTTAAAACTAGATTAACACTTCATAGAGTGAATTTGTGCTCTTACAAAATACATGTTAATAAAATCTGCATTC